ACATGTGCTATCTTCGACGCATGCAGACAGAAAGCGGTAGCAGGCGAGTCAATACGCTGTCTTAATTGCTTACAAGCTGTTTTTGTTGTTGTCAGCGGACATGTTTATCGTTTAAAGTGGAAAGCCTGAACCCAACTGACCCAGCAACTGGCCGACTGACCAGCCGACTGACCAGCCGACTGACTAGCCGACGGACAATGGACATCGTTTTTTGGCCCCGCTCTGTCGGCATTGATTCTAATGGAGCTCCGCTCTCTCATTCCTTAACTAGCATACATACGCCCATTTTATGACATTTTTAATTACTTATTTTGCTTCAAACTGTGTGAGTGTGTGTAGGCGAATAAATAAATTCTGTCGCAAACTCGGTACGTTTTAGTGTGCGTGCGTGTGTGTGTGCTAGAGTGCGAGGGAGTCTCTTTCTATAGATTTATAGAAACACTTTTATCCATGTTGGGTACATACACTTGCAAAAATATGGCTTCGTTTATAGGCAAATAAAATAATGAAAATTGCGATACGAGAATGGTCTTAGCAGCAACAACAGAGGCAGCAACGGAATCATCACCACGAGTCCTTTGTTTGCCTTTTATTAGGATAGTAAAAGACTTTATTGTTGCTGTGCCTGCTGCTGCTCGTCGCTTAAAATGTTGTCCGGCCTGTCTGCCAGTCGGTTGGCCAGTCAGACAGGCAGCCACTTGACCAGGCCCAGTACAATGACGAGAATGACTATGGCGTTACTGTGGCTCTTTTTGCTTTTGTTGCTGTTGTTGTTCTGACCTTTTGTCCACCAGCTTGGCCGCTGGGCCACTAGGGCGCTGCCCTGGCAAATTTTTATATAGTTTACCATATTGCTTTGCCATTGTTGTTGCTGTTGCTGCTGCTGCTGCCTTTTGCTGCAAATACTTTTTGGGGGAATGAGGGAAAAAGGCAAACTCTAAGCATGGCATAATTTGGAACGCAACCGCAGCCCAGCTGAGGGTCTTTGACGACAGGACAAACAAGTGCTACCAGCTATGTAACTCAATTCTCTATTTCTCTATTGGCAATGCTGATGTCAAAATTGACATATGCAATTCGGGGCTTGCTCGCATTTTGATTGTCTTCATTTAGTTAAGTTTTATGCTGATTTACTTAGGCCACATACAGAACGACGACGACAGGCATTTATGACATTTTAACGCTTGAGTGATAAATTCTGAACGCGTGATATATAAACCTTTAGTCAGGCAGTAAACCAAGCGTACAATGGACCACAAAATAGCCAAAACTCTTTGAAGGAATTCATTGAATTACGTTTTGTCAATCCTTCTGCCTTCGACATATTTTTGATGATTGTGCTATTCATTTACAATTTTCGATGGCAAATGAATTGTGACGTTGCCTCTCAAATTTAGGATTGAAATAAATTTCAAATACTGTATTTCACTTGGCCTAAACTGCCAGGATGCCCTGACATCGGATGCAAAGGGTTTGGCAGATTGTCTTTTGCGCCACGTTAGCCAGGCAGCCAGGCAGCCAGCTGCCGCATGTCTAATGAATATTTAAAATCCTGCACGCCCCACAGCGCGCACACACATCTATACGAAGAAAGAACTCTTGTGCTGGTTGCCCTGGTAGCGCATAATATAAAATTTACAAGTTTATTGAATGTAAAATTTATTTAAATAACCCAAAATCGCTGGTGCTTAAATAAATCCAGTTTAAATGCGAATTTTATTCTAGGTAAGCACAGCGTCTATTCAATACTGAATCTATAATTCACTTGAATGAGATTTCTGTTTGAAGAACAGATGTAGAATGAAATGTTAAATATATTTTGAACGAAGTGACCACAGCTTAGCTCTAGAGTAATTAACTATGTTTGATTGGACACATACGCCACATTGTAGTCGATAAGCCAGCTGGGGGATCAAGGGCAGCAATTGCGCTACCAACATCTTTTGCCGACTCCAACCCAACACATCAAATTTCGCATCAACAATGTAACAAAGTTTCCAGCATAAGCGACGCCACTGCCAACGTCGACCGCAGCGGGTTTCAGCATTGAAATAGCAGAAATTTTGATTTTACGACCTTGTTGGCGTCATTAACGTTATTTTATGATTACGCTGATACGACCTCAAAATATTGTGGCGCAGCTTCCCTTAGCCCAGGGACTTGCAGTGACTTAGTATGGTCCCTATCCCCGCCAAGTTATGAATCTCGGAAGTATAAGTAAAAAACCAATAAATGTTAATGAAAATACAAGAGAGAAAGTTAAGTTTTTGCGAGCCCCGCCCAGCCACCTTTTCTACTTCCTGCTTCCTGCTTCCATGCTCAGTATGTGTCAGCCTACACTGCCGCAGACTCCATGTAGGAGTTCCTGTTTCCTCTTCCTGTACGATTATATGATTGTGTGCATGGCATCGAACATAAGCTGATAATATTATTGCGCTATTAATGGGCTCAGGTTTTTATGGGACTTTTAATCGCTTTTGTTACAGTTGCTAAAGTTGCAACTATAACTTGACACACACAAAGGAATCGAAAAGAATGTTGCGTGTGAATATCCTTAACTCGCCTTCTCTCTCAGTCTGTGGTCTTTTCTTTCAATCTCGCTCAGGCTTTTCTTTTGTGTGGCAAACAGTCAATGCAACATTTAGTTGCGGCCAAAGGCAGAAACTAATTGCAAAGCCAAACGCACTGCCAACAATTGCGGCTGTGGCAAGGTGTGTGCCGCAAGCGGAAAAGCAATTTAGCAAATTCTTTGTCGTTTGCCAAATAGAAAAGCTAACAGCGAGCGGTTGCTTTGCCACCTCAACTCCATTTACTGCCTGCTGCAAAATCAATTTTAATGACACGATGGAAAAAAGCAAAGCGCTAAATATTTATATATGTATATACATATATATATGTATATATATATAAAGAGATAGAGAATCACTTGAACATCTAAAAGAGGAAGCGCAGGCGACAAACTTCAATGGCATACCAATAGAATGGGTCCTCAACCTCTTGTAGCAATGCAATTGCTGAGCGGGACCGTCATTGCTTCTGTTGTGGTTTTGACTACTAACAATATAGCGAAGCTCTGAGAAATTCATGAAATTATTCTGACTACCAAACTCCAAACACCCTAACTTTGATTATTACAAAAATTAATAAAAATAATAAGTTCATATGCTTTGTTATCCAAGCTTAGAAATAGAATGAAGAATTTGTGAGACCTGCAAATTATACTCTGATTTCGCATGGGAAGGCTGAGGCCTTCGCAGTGCAACACAGTCAATATAAAAGGTATTGTACTCCCCGTTGCTTGGGTAGCATTGCACAAAAGGTGTAATGAAGGAGCATACAGAAAAAGGTATTCCTTTGTCGCTTTGGCTCAGAAGCCAGTGTTGGCTTGTCGCAATTAACGTTCGCGGAAATTCCTGACAGCCAAGCAGGCAACAGCCGACAGCAACGACAACGACAGCAGGCGGTGGGCAGTGAGCCAAGCAACGCGCTGGTGCGTAAATAGCACGGAAGTCGTTGGGCCCACGCGGCGTATGCGTACTTTAAGCAAGAGAGCCTTTAGTGAGCAAAGTGACCTTCTCTCTGAGTGTGGCAACTACTTGTATTGCACTTCGCACGTCGAATGTTGCATGTTGCATGTTGCATGTCGCATGTTGCGTGTGGCATATGCTTGGCAAAGTGTACTTGGCTTAACTTAGCTTCATGTCGTCCCTTGACTGCATTTAGCAGTATTTTCCTCTTTTTTTTGTTTGCTGTGACAATTGGCGGCCTACTTGTCGTTGGCATGCCATATGCCAGCCGTACACAAAACAATTGCTGCCATTACAGTTTGTAATTTGGTAATCAGCCATACGAATCTGCATAATAGCAATTGGAGCAGCAGCAGCAGTTGTACTGACAGCAACAGCAGTAGCAGAAGCAGTAAAAGTGCCGTCTAGGTAAGCCAGGCAAGAAAAGTTGCCAACTTTTAATTGAAGTGAAAACGACGATAACGACAGCATTGTTGGCATTGCTCTAGCTTTGTTGCCAGCCCAAGAGGCACGGTATGAGGACTTCACATGGGGAGGCCTTAACACACACACATTCGCAATCACACACACACATGGATGTTGCATTGGCACAGGCACACATGTCGTCATGGTGTGCGCCATTGTAAAAACAGTTGCGGAATTGCTTTTTAAGCCCACAGCGCGTAGCATGAAAAGCAGCAGACCCGCACTCTAGGGTCCCTGGGATTGAGTTGGATTGCTCTGTGCGGGCACTGGGGCTGAATTGGTGGGTAAGCTTTTAAAACGCAAAACTTTTGAGCTGCTTAAAGTTAGGGCCGTACGTATTTGCCACTGCGATGTGCTGGCCCCAGTGTACACACACATACAAGCATATATACATGCATCATCTAGATCGTATTGGCCTGTGTGTACTGTTTTGCCTTTGCTTGGGGCGTTCCCAACCTGTTGCCAGGCGAAGGAATCCTCTGGGCAGTGGGCTTGCTATCAAAACTGCGCTGCGATAGCGTAACAAAATTGTCAGCACATGACCTTGGCGTGGGCGAGAGTGGCCAGACCTGGTTGCTAATGCTGGGTAAGGGTAGGTGGCATCGTTTACATTGCAGCACGCAAATATGTCGCCTGCCGCAGCTGTGGCCATGACACGCGCCAGCGTGTGATATGCGAGAGATTGCCTTGAAGAACCTGCCCTAGCTCCAGACAGCTTGGCCGCCAGCCTGGCTTTGATTTATTGATTTTAGCCTCGGTTATAGCATACGAAATGAGACAATATTTGCCGGTCTTCGTTTGGGTCACATATGGCTGTCATTAGCCAAGACGCCGGGGCACAGGATCCAGTGTCAACTGCTGTTTAATAAGCCGCCACACTTAAAATATGCCAGTAGAGTAGAAAGTGGAATGCATCTGCCGGCCACGTCTATGCCATTTTCCCACTTTCTTTTCTCTGTAGCAAATGGCGCAAGTTCAATTAAATCAGAGCCGGAGCATATTTCTTACCCGTTAGACAGTTCCGGCGCCAGACACCGTCTGCTGGCGGCAAAGTCTGTAAGTAAAGATTGAAAGACAAATTAAATTATGTTTAAAGCGCAAGTGAGCTTAACAAGAAAATATTAAGCGCTTGACTTTTTTATAGAAAGTAAAAATAAATATTACACATAACACGAATTAAAAAAGTATATATTAGAATCATTTAATGACACGATGGCAGAATGTGTCTCTGATGTCCACGTTTTATTTTTTATCGTGTTGTTTCTAATTTTATTTTGTCTTGTTCTCTTTTTTGTTTTCATTTTAAGTTTTTGTTGTTACTATTCTCTGCAATAACACCATTACTGCTAACACATACTATCCTCAACACTTCTTTTCATTTGCCTTCCATATTTATGTACTCTTTTCTCCTCTGTGCACAATCTTATATGAACCACTATCATATAGTCATCATTCATCATATAGCTAGTTTAATCAGTTGTTTGGATGATTTTTAAGAGAATCAACAAATTACATTTGCTTGTTTTTTTTTTGCTTATTTACTGAAAATTCTATGATTCTATAGATTATTTATATTTGGTAAATATTTGAAAACATAGATGGAATGGGCCATCCTCCTTTAATTGGCCTAGAGCATTAGTTTGCACAAATATGCCCACTTTGTGCCGTATCATGATTACAGAGCAGAAGAAGCTGCTAAAGTGAGAAATGGAAGCTGCAAAAGGGAATAGAATCAAGGCAACAAAGAGGCGAAAAAAAACTGAGTGTAGACATAAAAGAAATGAAATCCAAGTGGGGGCGGTGAAAGGAATCAGCAGCAATAGCAGCAGCAGTCTTTACCAAAGCGAGCAGAGGCAGGCCAGGACACGCCATGCGAAAGATAAGTAAAAGACCAAAATTAAATTGGACATTTATCAAGAGATTTTTATTGATGCCCCAAGTGCCGGCCAGAGTAAACACAGACAGAAACACAAACACACACGACGGGGCGCCGCAGCCAACTGGAGACAAAGTCAAATGGCAGGAACGACAAATGCGGCCAATTATCGTTTTGAGTGTAAAGTTTTATTGGCAAGCGGAAAGTTGATTTTATTTAAATGTTGCCACTGACGATGGCAGCAACAAATTGCTGTAAGACACGAAAGCATAAATTAGAGGCCCGCCCCAGTCCATAGAGCCCCGGCCGCCTCAGGTTGGCCAACTAATTACGACCATTAGTGAAGCGAGGAAACAGCAACAACAGCACAGCGAAAACAATTATAGCGCATTTAATCACCTGCTGAAATTGTAATTGTGTTGCATACTTTTTGGCTGCCACTGTACGCACGTACACACACATACTTCTGTGCACAACTAATTATACGGACAGCATAACAACAACAGCCTCATAAAACAAATCCCCTCATCTCGCCGAGTGCAGAAATTCAGATGAAACATGAATTGTTGGCAACGCGATTTTGAATTTATTGCCTGAAATTAACTTTCTGAAAATAATTCACATAACTTGGGGCGTGCCGAAGGGCAAGCCAAAGTGGCTTAGTAAAATAATTTATGGTTCGGCAAAATGCCCAATTGCCGCTACATAGCCCCTACCTAAAGTTCTTTCTCTCTCGCTGTCTGTCTCTCTTTCCTTCTCTGTCACTCTCTGTCTGTCTCGTTCTCTCTGCTTATTCTCTTTCTATCTTTCTGCCTGCCAGCTTGTAAGTCTGTCCAAGCGCAGTCAAGTGCAAAAAACAAAGCAAATTAATTGCAAGTCAAAGCGAACCTTTGACTCCATGAATACAACGCACCTTTACACACATAATCAGACACACATACACACACACACGCATACAACTAATATATACACGCACAATCGCACTGACAAGTGCTTTAGCAATGCCTTTATCAATATATCCTTTTAAACCCAAGCTAGAGTCTAATCAAATGGGACAGCAGCTGCTTTTTCCGGCCAGCATTCGAGACTGTTGCTCAGTGATGCGTGGCTAATATGCTTTTGGCCATAGACACGCCCCTTTGACCGGATAAACGCATGTCTGGCAGGAGGCTGAGCGCAAGCCACTGAACCATTGGACGGCCGAATCAACAGCTGCCAAACGCTTGCCAGGCAAATTTATATTTTCGAGCACAATTTTCACGCGTTTTTTGTCAACAAATTTCACATTCCATTAACCTGGCACAAGTTGTGGCAGCGACAGAGCATCATTTTGCGGTATTAATTGAAGAAATCGATTCAAGCAAAAAGCCAAACACATAACTTGTAAGTGGTTCGATATCGATGTCATCTTATGAGGTTTCTGTTATTGCAATCTTCTCTTTTTTTTCCATCTATGTATCTGCCTGACACGTTTGACAGCTGGGTGTTTGTCTTTCCGTGCAGGTTGCCTAGCAGATAAATGACAAAAAATCATAAGAACAAAAAGAGCATCAGAATGGCGCACATTAGATACCCTTATTTTAGGCATCACAGCTAATAGCAAGTATATTTCAGAACTCGAAGCAATAGGTATTGAGTTATCTATTGAAGTTTTAGAACTCGATACTGTCAATAAATCAAACTATCTCGAAAAATATCTACGTGACTGTAAGAAATAAAAATATGAAAAAGAGAGAGCATCCAGTATGAAATGACTCTAGGATGATCAGCAGAAGCCGTCAAAGCATTGGCAACTGGGATTGCGGCAGACCCATTTGGGAAATTGACAAAAGGCGGGAGTTGATGTTATCTGCTGATGGTTGCTGCAGCAACTTCTACCACTTGAGGTGACAGTGCAACATGTGCGTGTGTGAGTGCCGAGTGTCAGCTGCAAACATGCCACAGATAATTTCTGTAAAAGCTTTGCCACGCGGACGGTTCCGGGTGCTGGCTGTGACCTAGCCATAATGAAACGTGGACACTCCCACAGAGTCGCTGCTGTGAAAGTGCTATCGTTGCAGTGGCACCGATGTAGCTAAGTATCATAACTCAAGTCAGTGCCTAGCGACTGCCCCTGTCACTCAAGCAGTGTGAAAAACCAGTCAAGCTGTTCAAGAGTCATCCTGAGGCGTTGCTGCTAGCATTATGCAAGTGTCCCAAAGCAGCAGCAGCTGTTAGAACAGCTGCAGCTGCAGCAGCAGCAGTATCTGCCGTAGCATGCACTTAACATGTTGTACCACAAAATCGTCAGCCATATGCGGCGCATATTAATTTGATGGCACTCATATTTATGCCAAAGCAAAGCGTTTTCATTCTTTATGCTGTGTTGCCTGCCACTGCCACGGTTGTTGCGACATTTTTTGACAAGTTGCACTCAGAGTCAGCGTCAGTGTCGCAGTCGAGTCGTTGTTGCATTTGCAATGCGAATAGGAGTCTGAGCAGCTGTTGCAGCTGCTTTGCATACAGTCGGACAAGTGGGTAGCAAAAGCAAAAAGCTGTCAAGCCAACCCAGCAGACTATAGAGAAACCAACCAGACAATCCGTAAGATGTGAGCGGGGGCCACTGCAACTTATACAGGGCTCCCTCTGTGAATTTTCTACTATTTTTGTTTTACTTTTTTTTCAGCTTTTTTTTGTCATGGCGCATTCCACTTTAATTATTTCAGCAATGCTGCCGAAGCCGCTGGTAACGACATCAAATTTACATACGCAATTTCATTGTTGCCGCAGGATCTGGCCATTGTCGAGCTGCTGGTTGTCCGCCTCAGTCGCCGTTGTCATTCCCGTTGCCGCAGCTTGTTGCAGCGAGCTTCGCCTGTCTCTTACCACATAACGCATTTTATATTCAAATTTTTTCACTGTTGTCTGGCAGTCATTGCAAATTCTGCCAGCAGTTTGACTTCTTTTTGTTTTCTGCACTTGACTTTTGCTTGCGGCCTGTTGTATAACGTTAGCTCCCGTGGCTCTTCTTCCAGAGCTCCACTGGCTGCTTATGTACTCATAATAATCAGTTGCAGTTGCCGCCCCCGCTTAAATTTAGTGTCAATTTTACTGCCAGTTACACACACACACAACCCAGCCCGAACCTACCATTCGCCCAACTGTTTCTGTATGACAAAGGGCACATACGAGATCTGTGCAAATTCATGGAACAGCCGGGCTAAAAGCAGCTTCAGATTGCATTTACATATATTACATAAATGTATGTTTGTAGCTGACTCACATTGCAAAAGTCTAACTGAAGTTGAAGGGCCAAGCAAACAAAACACTAAGACTAAAGTCTATTTTTCTCATATGCTAAGCTGCAACTATTGGAGATTGTCTCCCGGCAGTTAAAAGCTCGGTCACAATTTATTTTATAAGTACATAACATATACAGTATATTGTCTAATAAAAAGATGTGGTTACCATTACTGACTCAAATTGTGGACCAATTGTGAGCTTTGAGGCATTCTCAAATTGTTGAGCAGAGCTAAATTTAGATTGGTCGCATCTCCCAAGATACAATTTGATATAGCATACGTACATAAGTAGCCATCTCCGGCTTTTAAATGCCTTTCTTGGCAAATTGTTTATGAAGTTGAACTGTCAACAAGCAGCTTTTAAGTGATCGCAGGTACTGTACTCATGTTAAATGTAGCGTGATAATGAGACGAAAAATTTGCATTTCGTTTGGAGTGGCAAATGCAATAAACTCCAAAATAAAAGCAAATAAAAAGTAATCAGAATTTCAGATTTGGCCATAAAGAAAAATAAACACACGGGCTAACAGCGCCAAAAGGAATTAAAAAGTGTGCTAAATAATTCATTTTTGAATTAAAATATAAATCACTTTCACACCATTTTGTCGGCCGCCGTCGACAAAGTCCTCTCAGCGCGTCCCTTGTTACTCTGTCGTCGTCCTTTTTTCCAGGACACTTGTTTATTTTATTACTTTTCAACGCCGCGCAATGAAAGGGCGAACGCAAGAAAGAAAGAGAGTCAGCAACGCGAAATCTTTTTAATATAAAACTGAATTACTTTTAGCAGCGATTTCCGAGAACGGCCCGAGAGTCCCGCACATTAAAATTGACGAACTGTAAAAGAGCTGGCACGCCCAAATTTCTATTTGGAGGCGTCCCAATGGACCAGTAGTGGCA